GGCTGGCCTGCGAGGACTTCAAGAAAACCAAGTCCTCCACTAAGATTGCCTCAAAAGCCCAAAAGATTTATTCTGACTTTATACAAGCTGATGCTCCAAAGGAGGTAAAGAGGAGTTTTTTGTGTGTACTTTCAGTGCTCATTGAGGATGGGAATCAAGTGGAAAATTCAAATCCAAAGTTTCTGAAATGACAAAAAAGGCAGTTCAGTGTGGCTGTACTTCCATTTCTGTGTCAGTTATTTACCAGGAAGAAAACACTGCCTGGAACTCTGTGAAGGAAACAAAGACCTCTTTTGGTTAAATACAATGCTTTAAATACGTTCTTCACACAACACATGGGTGTATCCCACCTTTTGACATGTCTAAGGCAATGTATGTTCAATATCATTTATTTTCCCTACCCATTTTTATAATGCACCATTTCCTCCATATTTTAAGCATCAGTATATTGGAATGTTAATGACTGCATTTATTCTTTTGCACAGGTATTTTTGACATGATGAATATCAAAATGCAAACATTGCTGTCACAGCATTCAATTTCATAATTATTTTAAAAAACGCTTACTGTGAAGGAACAACTTGCTAATGAATTACTGTTCACGTTCTACTCCTCAACAAACTTCTACACTGACGGTTTTGCCTTTGATACTGAGGGTGCTTTGAATGTCCTCATGTCTTATATGTGAATGAAATCCATTTTATTGTTATTAAAACCAAAAAATGCTTACACAATAGATAGGGCCAAAGCCTAAAACAATGCTGAGTACCCTCACCTCTCATTTACTCCTTGAGAACTGGTACTTCATAGCATTTGGTTTGGTAAAAAGATGTGAAAATCAGAAGCAAGTTTTCCCCTTCTTTTTTTCAGTGATGCCATCTTTTTAAGAGCCAAATAGAATTAATAACTCCGTATGCTAGAAACGAAGGCCTGACCTTCCTGCTTATTTGCATCAGCCAGGGTATTTGGAAAGAAATTCAAATGCGGATTGTGTTCTGTACACAAGCTTTCCAATCCATCTGACATGAATTTTATGCCTCCTTTCTTCCTGCAGATTAATATTGACTTCCATACCAAAGACCACATCTCTCAGAATATCTCTGAGCCCACGCTCAGCTGCTTTGATGATGCTCAGAGGTTAATCTACAGTCTCATGGCGAAGGACTCTTTTCCCAGGTTTTTAAGGTCAGAAGAGTACAAGGAACTAGTAAGGAAGCAACAGAACGGAAATCAGAAGAGATGGCTCCCATTTTCGTAAGAAAATAAATGCCAAAGACCCGAGGGATTATGAATTTGCAAATGTCTGCCCTTGCAACTCAGTAAATATAATATTTTACTAAGTGATTGTATGAACCAGGTCTAAGAATTTCCTGTGCCAGCTTGCTTTTAAGTACAGTGTGCACATGATACTTTCTAATAAAGGTGGACAAATATTTGGGAAATGGGATGGAGTATGCTAAGACACCTGGGCTACCTTTTTAGCAGAGAAGTTGACCACTGATAATTTGTCCAGTGCTTGCTTTGTTTGTCAAACTGTTTTCACGTTTTTAAGCAGAGTGTTTTGGTTTCCTGGTTTGCTGTTGATTTTTCTTTGCAAGTATGGCCTCAAAAAGTAAATTCCCCTCAGGGGACTTGAATACATTTACTCATTCACTCATCGTCTTGTCTGTAATTTGTTAAAAAAAAAAAAAACAAACCCTCTTTTAAACATATGTTTTATACCAATTCAAAAGAGGAAAAGTAGGAATATGGTAGATAACATACTATGATAATATTTAATAAATAGGCAGCTGCTTTCTAACACATGATCTTGGCATTCAGAGCAGATTAATTTTTCATAATACAGCTCTTCAGTATGACTCTCCAATTTTGCTTTGTGTTCATTTAATTTATATTTAATGGAAATTTCTAATTCATTAATTTTGTAGGGATTTGGGGAGAAAAAAAGAGTAAATCTTACTTCGTACACTTTCAATTAATAATTAATTTTCTTTGCTTTTCCAACTGTATCAGTGATGCCGTTCCCATGCACTCATGAAGTAGTAATGTCAATAATTATTACCATTTTTCAATTAAATACAGATAAGCAGAAAGGTGGGCATCAGAGAAACAGTTTGAGGCAAGTACGCACGTAAATCAAAATTTAGGCATGGTGTTATGTTTCAAAGGAGCAAGACACGATAGGATTCTAGTGCAATCTTCAGGTTTCTCCAAATGCCCACACCGATCTCGTTCACTGCTGTTAGAGGATTTACTGCATATATTTAAATGAAAGAAGGAGCTGTGGCATAGCACTGAAGAAAAAATATTTTAAACCATATGGGGCAGGGAGAATCTTCACTATGGAAAATAATTCTATGTACAAGAGACAGCAATAAGATTTTTGTAAAAGAAAGACAAATCTCTCATTTGATATGAATCTGACCCTTTTGGTTATTTTGCTTTTGAGCTGCTCTAAATCTCCAGGAACATCTCCCTGTTTGGAACTTCATGCCTTCCACACACCATCACATCCTCCGTGCAAAAGATCCTTTCTATTCTGCCAAACTACATAAGGAACCAATTCTTTTAGACAATAAAGGATTTTAAGCAACCTGAAAGCCCCAGGACGCTGCATTCGGTTATGTACTCGGGTTAATGTCCTGTCACAGCTTATGTCAGTATGTTGGGTGCAAACTTTGGTTTTTGATACCCATCATCAATGTTCTTTGGTACCCATCATCAATTTCTTCTTTGATATGTCCTTTGGCACCCATCATCTATTCTAACCCCTAGTTTTAGTGCTCGATGGCTGCATTTCTTTGTATTTTCTTCCTTCCCCAGTACTAGTGGTTAATAGAGAAATGAACACGATTGCCGAGGTTGAGCTACAAGGAGGATGTGGGTTTTTTTTGCAGTCCCACAGCTACCATTCATTTTGCAATGGTACTTCGGTGGAAAATCGCAACTTCCGCCTGCAGCGCGCTCTTGGTACCCTTTCTGCATCAGGGGATTTCAGCTACTTAGAGTCACTGTCAAGACTACATGGCTGAAATTGCATCATTTACTCAAAAATGAAGCAAGTCATTTTTCCTTCTTACAAATCAAATTCTCATTTTCAGAAGAGAAAATTCCCGCACTTAAGAAGAAATGGGATCATGTCACCTTTCTTAGCAGGGCAAGTAGAAATCCAAAAAATCTGCTCTACCAGTCGTTTGGGACCTAAGGATAAAGACGTAACTTGAAAATAGATGTATGATCATGAAATCTCACAACTCCTGAAATCTTGCATGCTTCTGACTAGGAACAGAGCTAGAAAGTTGTAGAAAGTTGGCTGCGAGGGATCTCTAATTCCTGACTGAAAATGCCGCATAAGGAGGAGTTAAAATATATCTAAACCAAACTTGGTGAAAATAATGCATGTTATTATTTTGATAACTATATAAAAACAGTAATCAGAAGCATCATGCCCACATGATGTCTGACTGATTCTCCATGATGAACAGCATAATTATTGTCAAAAAAGTAGATCATTCTTAACATGTTAGTATTTGATGTTCATTTTAATAATTGCACAATAAAAAATCATGAATGGTTTTAACACATTCTCAATTAATTTAGAATGTTTTAAGAGAAATGTACAGTAATTACACTTTTAGTGGTTGTCACAGACTCAGTGTAAAGTAACAGTACTAATCCTTTCATAACCCCCTAATTAAAACGATGCTGGTTTTAATTACCTAAGTCAATTAAACTTCTGTTGTTGATCAAGCCTTTCAACATTTTTATTAATTAATCTGTTTCAGATGCTTAAATATGAGATGAAACTTTACCAGTTTAAATAAATGATCACTATAAATTCATATAAATCCAACAGTAATTGGATGCACAATCACAGTTTTTAAGCCCTCAGAGCACTGTCTGGCTATGTCACATGCAGTTAAACAAGAAAAAAATCTACATCGCATTGAAGTGTTTTGAGGTTTAACAATCACATTTCTGAGAACTTTTATAATGTTATTAAAGATCCATTTCAGAGAGTATCTGAAAACACCCAAGATATGAAAGATGGGAGCCAGTAGTCTTTATTTGTCTTTATTTTCTAGGTCTAAAACTTCCTACTTCATACTTCTACAACACCAAAAAAAGGTCACAGCCTAATGAGCTCTGATAATTTGACATAGGAAAAAGCCAGGCATTTTCCAGATGTGATTTAGAAGATTTATACTGAACTTTGCCAAAATCCCAGAGCTTTACCAAGGACTTCCAGTATGAGCTTGGCCTAATTGTGTAACCTGTTTTGTAGTAGTTATGAAAATTAGGGGTTACCTCTATCTTCCATCAAAATGCAGTATATTTATGTCCTTTGAGATTTGGGAAGCATGCAGACACCCCAGAAAGGCAGGATTTATGTTAAAGCTTCAGAGTGATCCTCCAGAGTAAAGCTGCTTATTATCAGACCATCTTCATTGTCAAAGCCACTAAACTTTGAAAAACCTGGATATAATTTTTGTGGAGATAGGTCACAACTATTCTTACAAATTCGTACATCACCTACTCCTGTGGAACCTCAAGCACATTACCAGAATTATTTATCCTAATAACTGCTCTGGGTTACAGTGGGGAAAGAAGAGAAGACTGCAGTGCCGTTAATACTGAATATTGCACATTCAGTAATTATCTTACAGAAGTTACGGTGAAATCTTTAGGGAGGATTTGTTGTGAGGTTTTTTTGCTAGTTCATAGTAAAAAGAGGAAGAAAATACTGTTGCACCTAAGTGAAAGCACTTGTAAAAACTTGCATTAGAAGCCATGTTTGCACTCCAAGACTCCCACTTGCTTTCACTGAAAAGTTAATTGGGATATTCCCCCTCTGTTTACAAGCCCAAGCCAGGCAAAGATCTCAGTTCTGAGAATAATTTTCTCCTTAAAGGACTCAATCCCATTCAGCACAAAAAAATAGGTTTACAAAAATATCCTACCAAATAGAAATGGTAGAAATAAATGAAAAGTGGACATTGCATTTCTTAAAAAAAAAAAAAAAAAAATCACAATTCCTGCACACAGTGCCAATCCTAAAGCTCCAACAGCATCTAGACTCACAGACCTCATCAGATCTATCATGCTCACATCATGACAGGACTGACCCAGATTTAAAATTAAAGGCATAACCATGTAATAATAAATAAAGCTATATATAACACACCATGTATTTATATGTTTTATAATATACAAATATAAAAACACTAAGCATGTACATAACTACAATGCATGATTAGGACTCAACACAGAACTGCTACCAGGGTTGTTTTGAGGCACAGGATCCCAAACTATAGGCAGCCAGGTGTATTTCCAGTGGCAGCAGGGCTCTGCAAGACCCTTAGCTATGTCTTGTCAAAGGCTTGTTAAATTCAGCATGCTTCCGTAAATGTTGGTGAGGAAGACTCTGTTTTTTCCGGTTTATCACAAAATTCCCTGCTAACACTATAATGCAAACCTATATTTGAACAGACACGCATCATCACAGGCTTTGCACAAGAACCTCCTAGACTTCTGTTTTGACCTTGACCCAAACAAAACGTTCACAGTACAGAATCGCAGAGTTGTCAGAGCGGATTTTCAATCAGCAGTTTTCAGCGCAAGGGCTTTTCTCCAGCATTGTGGTTGGTGTCAGACCCGGGAGACCTGTCCCCATGGCACACCGACACCCCGCTCACCCTTGTCTCCCTGGGCTTTCCAGTGACTGGGGCAACCCCACCCTCCTCAAACCAGCCTTATTTTCCCTAGAGCAGGTCTCCCTCTAGATATCTATGGGAGATTCCCTTCTTGACCCCCTTGAGCTGTTTTAGTGGCTACAGCTTTGGAAATTAAATTCAGTCATGGAAAGAGGCAGTATCAGCTTTGACAATTGCTTCAAATTATCCTAACATGACTGATACCAGTGTGGCCAAACTACTCCAGCAACCGGCAGCCAGAAAACATTCAGTTTGACAACTTCCCCGCATATGCACGGCAGAGCTGGCTCATGGCATTTGTGATTTTTATCTTCCCTCTATACCACACATCTTTAGAAATGCTCCAGCTTGTGTGGAATCTTGTGAACGAAGGCACATAAGCTACTGGAAGGGCCCTGGCTCACCTATGGGGGTGTCAGACCAGATGCGAGATAATACAGTCCACTATCTGAACTGGAAATATAAAATATGCAGAAGTTCTGAAGACCGGAGGCTGAAAATAGCTGGGTTTTTTACCAGGAAGACTCCCTGAGTTTGGGGGCAG